ATTCAAATGTTTACCTGTTCTATCTATCTATCATGTATGTATCTCTATCTATATGTTTCTCTATCTATCTATATATATATATCTATATATCTATCTATCTATCTGTCTATCTATATCTATCTATCTATCTATCTATCTATCTATCTATCTATCTATCTATCTATTTATCTTTCTATCTATCTATCTATCTATCTATCTATCTATCTATCTATATATATATCTATCTATCTATATCTATCTATCTATCTATCCATCTCTCTCTCTATCTATCTATCTATCCATCTATCTATATATCTATCTATCTATCTATCTATCTATCTATCTATCTATCTATCTATCAAGTTTTCCAAGTTTTCACCCTGACTTGGTAAAAATTGGGACTCAAAAAGTCAAGTTTAAGTCGAGTTTTTGCACCCAGATTTCAACCAGTTGGTGACTGGAATTTAAAAGTGGAGTTAAAGTTAAGTTTATGTGGAGTTTTGAGGTGGAGTATAGGACAACTAGTTGACATCTAGTTGTATCATCCACTTCTGTTTCCTGGGACGAAAATAAGTGAATAGAGTACATTCTCTGCCCACTATGGACTATTTAAAGATTTCGGGTGCAATGCCTATTACTTTTACTGTAAACATATTAATAAAGAAGACTCGAATAAATTATGCTATATATAGTATATACATATAAATCATCTTTGAAATCAATAGTATATTAAAGATTTGCTATGTTTGTAAAGCATTACATTATTCACTCTCCACTAAAACACACAATTATTTCGGTCATGAACATTGCTGTAGTGCGCACGCTTAGTTTAGAGTGTATTGGCTTAGAACACTTTTATAAAGTAAGTTCATAGTCTAGCCTTAAAAATTGACAAAGACGTATCTGGAAAGTCGGTTAACCCCTAATATTTTGTATGCTGAACATACAAAAATTAATAAATCACTACAATAATCTTAAAAGGCTGTATTTTTTAGCTTGACAAAATATAAACTTATATATAGAAATATATATATATATATATATAGAAATATTACATTTGCTGAAAAATAACGTTTCTGAAGTACAAAAGCTTACAAGGTAAAGATGTTAATTCAGTTTAACTTAGTGAACATCTAGTGGGGATATTTTGAACTAATTCCACCACAAAGCTTTCTCATATAAATATGCTTTCAATATTCCACCACACAAATACTTACAAATGTACAGGGTGTCCTACATCATATTGGATAAAAGATAGCTTTAACATTTTTTTCGGAAATAAGCAGAAAATTTATAAATATTGGATAAGGCTCACATGACAAAATGTTCGTGCAAAATTTTGTATATATATTTTATTCTCTTTGAATTTAAGAGATGAGACAGTCTGTAGATTTGCAGAATTGTAGAGGCTAATCTAAGAGAGATAGATGACTGTGTGTGTATGTTGCATAGCCGGTCAACTTTCTCTAGGTAACTATAGGTCAGGTGAAATGTCCATTAGATTAATATATATATATATATATATATATATAATATGTATATTTATGAAAGGATCGGACGACAAAAAAAATATATAGATATACATATATATATATATATATATACAGGGTGACCCAAAAAACAGGGATTTGGATTTCTTAGCCTCTTTAATCGTTAGAAAAGACTCAAAAATGTTCCCCAGTATATAGTTTTTAATTTTAGAAGGGGTTTTTAAGTAAGTTTTTAATTTGGTGTACAACTATGTCGAATATTCGAAAATCTCTCTGTTAACTTTAGCTATCCAATATTGCTTAAGAAACAAAAAATCATTTACATATATATGAACCAACTTAGATTTTTCTTCTTGGCTTTCTGTAAACATACATAGTTTTTAAGCCATAATTATTGAAAAGAGACCTCTACAGAAAGATTGCAACATATTCCTAGCCCAATGCTTGCGAACTCCAGAAATAGGCGATTGTTTTGCACTACATTAAGTTGGAATCTTTTTGAGAAATAATTTGAAATACAAACATTAAAGCGATTGTGGCGGTTATGAAAGTCGTCTTCTACTAATTAGAATCCTCCTCGACAGCTAGACGACTACAGGGGGAGTTTTAGAGAGCCATGATATATTTCTCCAAGTATTATTTTAACCATGTACATTAGATTAAATATAAAATTAGTTATCCTGAGACTCTCTTGTCGAGGCCGCCAAGCAATCTTTTTAAGTATTCATTATTATAATTTTCTAAGCATATGTTTTTTCTCTTTGCAATCTTGATTTTGATAGAATAATAAAAATTATCAACACTGTGCTGGTAAAAGTAAACAGAGATGTTTTTGAACATGCGACATTTATACCAAACAAAAGCACTTTTTTGTGTCGTTTTAAAAGATTATTGAGGCTTAAAAACACTGATATCTGTTTTTTGGGGTTTCTCAGTATATTTTAAAGTCCTTTAACACTTTTTTTCAAATTTAGGCAACGTCTTAAGTTATTCTATATTCAATATGTTTTTTTTGGTTTTTTTAAAATGGAGTTTGTTTTAAAAATAAAACAATTTTTTTGCCCAATTTTGCACAAAAGGAAAATACTTATTTTCGTCCGGACCACACCTATTTTTCGTCCAGACCACACCTATTTTTCATCCAGACCACACCTATTTTTCGTCAGGAGCACACCTAGTTTTCGTCCAGAACACACCTATTTTTCGTCCGGACCACACCTATTAATATTCGTCCGGACCACACCTACTTTTCATCTGGACCACATACTTTTCTGCTTTTTTCTTAATTTTCTCCTGGACTGCAACTTTTAGGTGATGGTCGTTGGACTTTTTAGAATCTACAGCTAAAATTCTACAAAATATTGGTAAAGAGCATAGTAATCTAATTTAGGTCGTCTTCATAGTCTTTTTCCATGGCAGAAATCTGTATTAATTCTAAATAAATCCCTTGTTCAAGCTTATCACAAATAAAACATTAGTTAGTTTTTACTTACATAGAAGACAACAAATACTATTACTATTTAGTTATGCATGCAATGAAGAATTCAATTTTTTGAATATTTTTTACCAATCGGGATTAATGTTTTGTTACTTTTTGATGCTAGTATTTTTTTCTTCTAAATCAGCTTAATATATACATTCAATAAAAGTTGTACAGGGTTACCCACAAAAAATTAAAAATCAATGACGACCTGACAATTTTCAAGTATATTGATTAATTTGATTTTCTGGCTTGGTGCATTGAATGATTTTGGGAAAAAAGAAATAATTTTACACTGAACTGTACAATAAAAAAACAAGTTAATAACTTCTTTGTGTCGTCTTTTTTTTGTGTCGTCCTCCTTTTGTTTCGGCTATCTATTGCGTCGTCTACCTTTTGTGTCGTCCTCCTTTTGTGTCGTCCTCCTTTTGTGTCGTCTTCCTTTTGTGTCGTCTTCCTTTTGTGTTGTCTTCCTTTTGTGTCGTCTTCCTTTTATAACATTGCATTTAAATGAATAACATTCAAATAATAGAAATTTTTCGTTTTTGCGTATTTTTGGGGAAAAATACACAAAATTCACAAAGGACATTCTTTAATGTCGTTATACTTTATTCTGTAGGCTTGATATGATAAAGATAAAGTTAAAAAAGATATTCAGATAGTTATTTTGAATTATCAAAAAGAAGAGTTTGAATAAAGTTTAAAATGTCATGTATATTTATTCCTAGCAAAGTATTTTTAATCTAATTTACATATTACAATTAAACAGTTCTACTATAGAACATACAAAAATATTACCTATTTTACATATTTATGTTTAATCTGCCTTTTACACTTGACTACATTACAGGGTTGCTAACAAAGGATAAAACTTCAAAGACGACTGTACAGAATTAACAATCCTCTTTTCCCTGCAACTATGGAGGGGCATAGTTTTGAGGTCTATTTAAAAAAGTTCGAGGTGTCTGAAAATTTTATATTTTATGCGCGATAAGTTTCTTCGCAAAATTTCTAATTTATGACTAAAGATAACTAAGATATCTAACAATTTAGGATTTAAAAAAATAAATATTAAAATCTTTTTGATCAGTCATCCGTAAAAATCGTTTTGGTAACAACCGTTTAATCACAATTTTTTTTGGCAAAATGTAACAAAAAGCAAACGGCAAACTTGGATTTTTAAATTCTTTTCAAGGACAATCCAAGGAATTTAAGGCCCAAACATCTTTAATGCTTAAGCCGGACCTCAAAACAAAGCACAATACAGTATCTGCAACTTAAAAATGTCTCTTTCCTTATCATGAAAAAAAAAACTATACAGTGATAACCAGAAAACTGTAGAATAGAAAGAAGACAATAAAGCATGTTATTGTAACAAAGAAAATCGATTTACTTATAAGTTTTTAAGTGAAATGAGACTGTTCACACTGTACAATTAAAAATACTGTGCCTCATGTTCATTGGACTATTTTAACTCATAACTTGAGTCTAAAAGTCGTCTTCCTATTCCAGAGTGTTCTTGTTATATATAAATTTGGCTTGTCTGTCTGTTTGTCTGTCTGTCTGTTTGTATCCAATAAACGTCAAAACGGCTGAACCGATCGGGACATCTAGGGACCCCAGGGAAGGTTTATGAATGATTGAAATTTCAAATATTTGTCTCCATCAAAATTCGATCGTCATTAAATTTTTGAAAATTTTGAAAATCCGCGAAATTTTTTGTGAAAATCCGCGAATTATTTTTGTTTTGTTTTACGATGTACACAAAGAGAACATGTTCACAATTAATTTAGGAGATGGGCGCGAAGCGCCCTCTAAGGCTAGAAAGAAGGGCGCGAAGCGCCTTGAATTTCTAGTCACTGTATAAAAGACAGAAAACTAAAATTATTATTAAAATCAATAATATTTTTCAGTGAGGTATAATTCTATGTGGATAACCCTTCATGTAAGATTATTTATGAAACATTGATTAAAATCATCAACTTGATTACTTATGATTTTAAACCAATGTTATTTTGAGTAGAATCTCCTAAAGTATTTACACAAGTCAATTGTTTTTTGAGGAAATTTAATTAGATGTTTTTTTTACTAATCAACTCCATTGGATTTATTTTTCCCATTTTCAATCTTCTTCTCTTCTTGAGCACAGTCTGAGTCTTTCTTCTTTGCTTTGTTCTGAAACAAAAATCTGGAAAAACCTACCTTAAGAATCAGTCTGATGGATCTAAAATTGTTTAAATATGTAGATTATACAGGGTGTCCCACAAAACATGACAGTTGGTGAATAGTTTTAAATGTCTTCTTCTACATGCTGTATTAGATATTAAAGCCTTTTTGCAGTTTATTTAGTTTAAAAAATGCTTTACTTAAAAATCAATTTTACTATAATATGGATGCCATAAAATATTTATTATTATTCTCTTTGGCAACAAACAACTTGGCATATTATGAAAGAAGACATTTTAAACTATTTCAACAGCTGTCATGTTTCGTAGGACACCTTGTATCTAGAATTTAAAGATTTTAAATACTTATGTATTCATATTATCCTTCAATTGTTAAAAATATAATACTGCCCTATACAATAATATAATACTGCCCTATACAATAATATAATACTGCCCTATACAATAATATAATACTGCCCTATACAATAATATAATACTGCCCTATACAATAAATTAGGGGGGAGTCAATTTCCAAAAATAAAACAATTTGCTTAAAATCATTACGGCGATAGGCAATTCTTATGTAAAAACAATTCTAAGAACAATTTCTTTTATGAAACTTTTTGATTGAAGGTCGTCTTCTTTAGCTAACTGGCACTCCACGTTTTGACCTCTATGTCTCTTTTTCTGAGATATGAGATTTCGCAATAACCAAGAAAAATGCTTCCAATCATTACAGCGACAGTACATTTCTATGCAAAAAAACAATTTAAGAACAAATTATTTTTTGACAGTTTTTGATTGGAGGTCGTCTTCATTAGGTAACGGGCACTGCAAGATTTGACCAATAATATACTCTTTTTCTGAAATATGTTATTTCGTAATACGCATGCAATATGCTTCCAATATTCACGGCGATAATTATTTCTACTGTAAAAATCAATTCTAAAAACAATGTTTTGTATGATACTTTTTTATTGGAGGTCGTCTTTGTAAGCTTAATAATAGGAAGCTTATTGCATGCTTATTGCGAAATCACCAATCTCAGAAAAGAGTACACTTAGGTAAAACAATTGGAGTGCCAGTTAACTAACGAAGACGACCTCCAATCAAAAAGTGCCACAAAAGAAATTGTTTTAGAATTGTTTTTACATAAGAATTGACTATCGCTGTCATAATTGAAATCATATTGCATGCTTATTGCGAAATAACCCCCTTCTATGCATTGGATGAACACACGAGTCGTGCCAAAACTGACTGCAATTAATTTTAATTAAAAGAACTTTTTTCATTCTCTCTCCACATATCTGGATCTGAAGAATTATAATGTTTACATAGGATGCTGATCAAGCTTATCATATCTTTTTTTTATGAACTGTCAATTTCTTTGCAGATAGTAAAATATCACTATCTATTGATGAAATTATTGAATTTTCGCTGATTTCTAAAAATATTTTGTCGGATTTTTATGGCTTTACTTTTTGTATCATACTGTTGTGACAAACTTTCGAAACAAAAATAAATGTTAGAAAGCAAGTTAGCAACTATAACATCTAGTGACAAAATGTTGAAACTACAGAGTGTCCCACGAAACATGACAGTATGCAGGACGACTTGAATGTCGTCTTGATTTTTGATATAATTTGCTGCGTTTATTTGTCAACCTAATTTTAGAAGTAAATTTCTAGAGATAATAATCACAAAATTTCCCTTGTCCTGCCATTTCCAAAATGTGGTCTGCCTTTTTTGTCCTTTCAATATTGCCCGAGATATGAAGAATTTCGTTCAGATTTCGACAATTTTGCTTTTATTTAACAAAATTGAAATCTGAACCAAACTCTTTATATCTCCGGTAATATTGAAAGCACAAAAAACGCAGACCACTTTTTGGAAATGCCAGGGCTAGGGGAATAATGTGATAATTGTTTCAAGAATCATACATGTTAAAGTAGATAGAAGACTAAATGTCACAAATAAATTCAAATACCAAAGACGACTTTCAAGTCGTCTTGCTATTGTCATGTTTCGTGGGACACCCTGTACCTGAGGTTGGGTTTGTGGTTCAGGATCCTTCCAGCAGAAAGCGTAGAACATATACAGAAACACGATGGCAACGTAAATCAGGATTATCAAAGAGAACAAGGGATCTAAAAATAAAAAAAATGAAATAAAATAAAAAATGTTTTAAGAAAAAAGTATTGACATCTTGATAAAATGAAATTTCTAAAAAATATCTCATACATTAAGATATGCAACACTCAAATCATGGAGATTTCTATATAAAAAGTATATCATCTCTGTTGGAATATTTTGTTATAGTTTGTCTGATCAAAGATCACAAACCCCGATTTGGCTAAAATTTTGAGGAACTCCATCCAACCATGTGAAGTGCCTAGCTTAATTTAAGTTCCAAGTTGAGTGGGTTTACTTTATAGTTGGTTCCAAGCTAGAAAATATAAGGCTAAATTGTTTTGAGGTTTAAAATGCATTTTTGGTTCGAGACTAACATAATCTTTGAGATTATGTTAGTCTCAAGATTAGCAAGAAGAGAGGATTAAGCATTAATCCTGATATCCATTCTAAAGTTCCCAAAGCTGAAAACTTTAGAAAGGGATATCCTTAATCCTGATCGGATAATTAATCTGGAGGATAAAAATGAGAGGAGAACAAGCAATATTTAATCTCGAGATTAAGAAAAAGAGTGGATTAAGCATTAATCCCGATATCCACCATTCAAAAGTTTTCAGCTCAGATAATATAAAAATATTTTATCATTGTAAAACTTGGAGATATAAAAGTTTCAAGCAAAAAAACTGGATATTTTTCAGCACTCTAAGTGCATATTTTTATGCTAAAGCCTTCTTCTAGCCGTTTCGTTAAAAAGACAAATTTTAGTTAGCTGTTAATTTTTGCAGTATTAAGAATGGAATGTTTGTTCGTTAACGGCATTTTCCGTTTTTTTTAAAATTACCGTTAGTTAACAATCTCAATTGTATTAACGGCGTTAACTAAAATATGTTCAACCATCATTAACGGCTCTAGTTGTTACAAGATTACAAGATTAACGGTGTTAAAAGTGCAAACCTTAAAAAAAATTTGTTAACGGTTAATGAAATCCTTAATGACACAGTCATTAGCAATTTGCTATAGTATGAATGGCGTTAATGGCGAAAAAAATTGTTAACGGTTTATAAGCACAGAAGATGACATTTTAAAACATCAAAACACTTAAAAAATTTTTATTTAAAAAACAAGTTTCATGTAATTTTAATCAGAAAATAAAAAATGCGATAAAAAGCGCTTTTGATCGCTACTAATCTTGTTTCTATCTGTTGTGTCCATAAGGAGAAAATTGTTTTAAACGACTAATACCGAAGAACGTAGTGTCTATACAAATTCAGAAAGATGCAACATTCAACTCGGATCATAAACAAATCAATTTAATTCCAAACAAATCATTCAGATATTACAAACAATAGTTATCGATTACTTTTGAAAACATTTATTCATGTTTCGAGGATTTTTGATAATGAAGACGACATTTTCATATTTTCCAGGAATTTTCGAAAATCCAGCGCCAGCGAAAATTTAAAAAAACTAAATATTATGAAATATTAACTATATACGAATGCGTCGAAAAATAATCGAGTTGAATGTTGCATCTTTCCAAATTTGTATGGATGCTTTACCCAGTCCTACTAAAGCCGGGATATTAAAAAGAGAAAAAAGAAACATAAAAATAGATAAATTAAGAAACAAAGGCATTATTCAGATAAATCAGTTAGACTCAGAAAAAAATAAATGTAAATTGTATAATAAAAGATAAATGTAAATATGCATAAATATATAAAAATGGATAAATATATAAATGCATAAACGTTTAGTAAATGAAGAGATAAAAAGATAAATAGATAAAGAATAGATAAAAAGATAAAAGATAAATATAGATAAGTAGACAAAGGTTGGATCAATAAATGAATAGATAAATAGATAAATAAATAAAGGTTTGATGAATAAATAAATAAAAAATAGATAAAAAGATAAATTAATAGAAAAATAGATAAATAGACAAAGGTTGGATGAATAAATGAATAAAAAATAGATAAAATGATAAATAGATAAATAGACAAAGGTTAAATGAATAAATGAAAAAATGACCTGAAATGATGGGATGTGGACCCTCCACATAACCAGGAATATATTTAGGTATTTTCTCTGTCTTAATCTATACACATTTTATATTAATATTTAAATATCATATTATAAAGCGATCATACTGACCGCCCTACTGTTCAATGATCTATCTACATCCTCTATCTAGTTTGGTTCCTACAGAGCAAACCGTACAACCCTACTGTTCAATGATCTATATATATCCTCTATCTAGTTTGGTTACTACAGAGCAAACCATACAACCCTACTGTTCAATGATCTATATATATCCTCTATCTAGTTTGGTTCCTACAGAGCAAACCATACAGCCCTACTGTTCAATGATCTATATATATCCTCTATCTAGTTTGGTTCTTACAGAGCAAACCCTACCGCCCTACTGTTCAATGATCTATCTATATCCTCTATCTAGTTTGGCTCCTACAGAGCCAACCGTAACTCTTATTTCCACTCATATTACACAGATTAATGACAGATAAAGATTAATTTATTTTAGCAAATTCAACCTTAAAACAAAAAACTCCGGTTATCATACAGTAACACAATAAAGAATATGCTCAAAATGATTTATGTACAACTTCAAGGTAAGCCCCGTTCTTTCTAGTATCACCAACAAAAAGCAACCATCACATGTGATTTGGTCTACCGTGTACATATAACTCGGGTAGCTGTAGTACATTTGAATTTCCGAACCGGGTCAACCTTTCCGGGTCCAGTTTGAACTGTACCTATAGCTCTATGGACAGGACTAGCCGGTGCAACAAGGTTGACGTGGTCAGACTATATGCTTCATAAAGGTTAAATTTACTTTTACTAAAGTGCCAGAGCTGCGTGATGTCAAACCCGAGAACAAAACAAATACCTAAATATAACTTAGCAGAACATCAAACAAATATAAATTTATGAGGTCATAAAAAGTTTTCTCTGAATTTTACTCTAAATTCAATTTACGACTCAAAGTAATAAAAACATTAAATTCACAGATATATGTTTCTTTGATCCGATGCTTAAATATATGTTTGTCCTTTAAACATGCTAATGTTGCAGTAAAGGATCCTTACTGTACTGTGCCTTAGCCTATAAACAAAACTAAAACAGGTTCCTTAATTTAGCCTACTGCAAACTTTACAGAACTCGTCTCTAAACAAGGGACATTCCATAACTAGACCGGAAAACTCCAAAGCCCAAAACTTAAGACAGGGTATCGTTATGAAAACCAGTTTGAAAACCAGGGTTTCACGAATGGGTTTAGTCATTTTTGTGAATATCAGTATTTTTGTAATGAAATATTATTTTTTTCAGTTTGTTTATATTCTCCATTTTTTTCGAATCTCTTAAATCAAAATCTACACAAAACTTAAGACCCCAAAAAGGAAACTCGGGAGTTTCGTTCAACGATACTCTTTTAAATTTCGGGCTCAGAGATGAGATTTTAAAAGCTCAAACCTGATTAAAAGAACCCCAGTCAGGATTGGTTCTGACTCGACCAATGAAAGACTGTTTAGCAAGCCTTCTCTCTGATATGGGACACTCTGTATATTATTTTCATAGTATGTTTATTTCATATTTTAAATAAAATTTGACACCACAAATAATTCCCGAGATTTTAAATGTACAAATATAAAAGATTTTACGCAATTTACGATCATCAGCTGCTGAGGACTCAAGCCTTTAAGAGAGAAAAACCCAAGATGGTTGGTTTTTACTATACTCAAGGTCATCCAAAACTTGGGTCTTGACTTGAGCTTTACTTGGGTTTAAGCTTTTAAAATCTCGTCTCTGGAATGTTTCATTATCAGATCGAGATACATTCAACTTTTTTCAGTTTAAAGAATGAGACTTCAGAGATGACTGTGCGGAACGTTTTTTATTTGTTTTCTTATATTCATCATTCCTGGCAACAGCAAACTTCTTTCTTTCTTTTCCAAATCGTTGAGAAAGCGAAGGCTTTATTTACTTTTGGGATCATCATATTTTAGGACGTCTCTAAAGCATCATCCTTTGTGGGTAACCCTGTATATTAATATAATAGCTATGAGAGCGTGCTACTAAGCTTCCTATATGTTCATATTCAACTGAACTAATCCTATTTTATTAGTCCTATTAAACATTCAAGTTGAGAGAAATATACAGGGTGTCCTACATAACATGACAGTTGAGAGAAAGGATTTAAGATCGCCATTTTTGTTCTTTCAAGTTTTGTGAATGCCATGACTAGAAGAGTTATATTATACTAATATTTAAGGAATAATATTATTTTTCATGTCTTGTGAAACACCTTGTACATAGTTTGGCTAATTTTGTGAATAGGGGTTCTTAGTTTTTTGAAAACTTGCTTTTTGGGGTCTTAGAAAGTAAAAAAAAATAATTTTTGTTTAATAACAATTATTCACATACCTGACTATCTGAGTGAAAATTTTGAATTGGTGTGTCAAAGACGACATCTCTTCTCTTCCTTTTTAATCCAATCCAAATATTTTCTAAACTGTACACTTTGGAACTTTCGGCCATATCTTGATTGAACTGTTCTTTTTCCTCCATTATGCTTCCTAAATAGAGAGATGTGTAATTAAGGCTGGGCATGTTTTTATTTATTTTTAAATCTTTTGAAGACTGACCAAGTATTGCGCCCCAATAGTAGGATGTTAAGTTACTTAACTGTCACATGGGACAATCAAGTAAAACAACATCCCACTTAACAAAGTTTTGGTAAATAAAAAACGTAAATTTGTAACTAAAACTTTACGAAGCCCTACTTCAAACTACACATTTAACCTTATGTTCCGAAAATTCATGATTTAGTTTAGCTTGAGCAATGTAAAAATTATCGTAATTGTCTCTTAAAGGAACTGTAAACATAATTTCAAATGACACTCCATGATGGCAATACCTGATTAATATCCCTTTAAATTATATTTAGATCAATAATAAATTAGCGTCATTGATCTTTTTTTCAGTGAGAACCCGCAAATAAAAATAAACCGTTTAAAGAAACAAAAACATTGGTATCTAACCAGACAAAGGTTTCAAGGGTACCGTTGTAAATCGGACATGAACATCTGTGCATGGAGGATCAGTTGAAATTACTCTTACAGTCCTTTAACACATCTTTCAATCATCATTGCAAAAAACAAAATAGAACATCTGTTAAATTCCCCAGTCCTACTTGTGATAAAAGAATATGGAGGGACCAAGATTTATCCTTAATCTTTTTATCCATTCCATTATATTTCATGAGAGAGAGAGGGGGGGGGGGAATTTCTTTGGTTGGATTAACGAGATTTATATATTACTAGCTGAATATTGCATGTGGAATTTTTTAAAATCGAACTTCATAAAAGAATGTTTTTGAAATTTTGAAAAAAATGCCATAAAAAAATTTTGTTTTATTTTTAACCTAATTAACCCCCTACTCAAGGGCTCCCTCAGCCAATTCCGCCAAGCCGTTTTGCCAGTTATAGATAACATATTTACATATATGAGTGAAGAGTTTTATTAAATAGAAGCATAATTTAAATAATAATTATAATATATGTTTAATAATTTTTATTTTATTTTAAAGTTAGTTGTGTCAAAATTCAGGGAAAATTTCAAAAATATTAGTAAAAGTAAATTTGCATTAAAATTATTTTTCTTATTGTACGTAAAGACAATTTTTAACAGGCTTTTGCTTATTTTTCCTTAAATAAAAAAAAAGTGCATGGAAAACCCTGATAAGAATGCTGAAAGAATAGAGCTTCAAAAAATGTCCAATGCGAATTTCATCATTAAATTTTTGTGTGCAGTTCACAGGTTTTTTTTTAGGGTTGAAAAATATCATTTATTGTTACATTCCATTGGGAGAGCGATTAAGCTTTCAGTTCAAAACAGATTAAAATTGTTTTTGTTTCAAAAAGACGAAGACAAAATCTTACATAATTATGAAAATTATGAAATCATAAGTCTCTCCCATCTAATAAGTCAGGGATTATAAATGCTCTACTAATTTTGCACTGGTCCGGCCCTATTCTTGCACCGCACTGTGACTAATTCCCTCCCATGACAGTAAAAATACGACATTTAAAAAGTGTTTTTTTCCGTTAAATCTACAGATGGACATCGATTTTGTGAACGAACAAAATTTGATTCTAAATGATGGTATTGTTCAGAAAAAAAAACAGAGAATAGACTAATAACAACAAGAAATAAAAAAATTCAAGTTTTTGAATGATTGAAAAAAGATTAACAAAATGGTTTGTTCAGAAACCATTAACAAGCAAAAAAGAAAAAAAAAACAATGCGCCAATTTCTAGTTATATTTGCTTGTCTTGTCCTTTAAATGGGTTTAACACCTATGAATGTAAAAATAGAAAAAATGACAAAAAGTTTTTTTAAACCAAGATCTGGAACCCCCTGTTGTGACAAACTTTCGANTTTTCAGATCATCTACAGTCTACACTCATGCTCATACAACTAAGGAAGTTAAAAGAACTAAATCGATGTGACTACAATGAGAGTTGTTAAACGATCGTTTTTTGTTTCGTTTTTCAGTAAACCATTATAAACGAAAAAAAAACATTTAAAAAAAGGAAAGGAAATATTAATATTCATTATACTCTAGCGTTTTAGAGCGTTGTGGAAAATTATTACTTTTGGAACTTATATTAAAAGAGTTTTTTAAAATATATATACTTTGCTTGTCTGTTCATTTGTATCCAATAGACATATCAAAACGGTTGAACCGATCGGTCTAATGTTTTGTGTGGGACCTCACGTGACCCCAGGAAAGGTTGATTTATAATCGATTTTAGAGAAATTTGTCTCTAACAAAATTTGATTTTTTAAAACTATAAAAATCAACGATATTTTTGTTTACAAAGAGAAAATGTTCACAATTTAAATAGAAGATGGGCGCAAAGCGCCCTATATTCCTAGTTTTCAGGTATATTTTAGAATTAAAAGTTTCCATATAGTAAGACAGATCATGACTAGGGCTGGGCACATTACAACTTTTTCAAGCCGTTTTGTTAATGGTTAGTTCCAACCGTTTTTAAAATAATATCTCAGGTAGAGTCGTTAGTTTTAGGGTAAGAACGAAACTTTGTTTCAAATGGTATTTTCTGCTTTTTGAAAAGTTACTGTTAGCTAACAATCTCAATTTTTTATACCGCGTGAAGTGCGGAAAAAAAATTTTGCTAACGGTTTATATAATCGTTAACAGTTGTGAACACAGAATACAACATATAAAAACATCAAAACATGCTAAATTTTTTTTACAAGTTTCAGGCAATTATAAGTAGAAAGAAATTCAACGTTTTTTTAAATCGTTTTGTTTTTGTTTTTAATCGTTACTTTTTTTTCAAAAATGGCTAATCTATTTCATTTAGAAATTAACAGGTTTTGCTGTTTGTTGACAGACTCTTATTTTAATTTTCGAAAATTTCCATTTTGTGAACGGAACTTTACCCATACCTAGACTCATGACAATAGTAAACAAACCATTCAAAAGCAAGGTCATACAATATTTGGCTAGTAACAAATCTAAGAAATGTGACCTATCAAGATTAAACAAGGTTAAAGTACGTCATAATTATCTGAAAAAGATAACGGAAAATAAAGTTTTAATGATATACTACTACTACTACTACTCCTACTCCTACTCCTACTCCTACTCCTACTCCTACTCCTACTCCTACTCCTACTCCTACTCCTACTCTTACTCCTCCAACTCCTACTCCTACTCCTACTCCTACTCCTACTCCTACTCCTACTCCTACTTCTACTCCTACTCCTACTCCTACTCCTTCTCCTACTCCTACTCCTACTCCTACTCCTACTCCTACTCCTACTCCTACTCCTACTCCTACTTCTACTCCTACTACTACTTAATGAAAAATGTAAATGTGTATGTTGGGAGAAAATGAGGCAGAAACCTGATTAAAGATAGATTGCATAACATAGATAGATAGATAGATAGATAGATAGATAGATAGATAGAGAGATAGATAGGTAGATAGAAGAAAATAAGTGGAATATAGATGGATTGAATATAAAGCATTCTAGACATTTATCTATATTTTCTTTAGCTGTGTTCATGCTTGAATAAATACCGTGTATTTCAGGGACTTTTTGCCTTGTACGGAAAGAACATTTTTCTTGATTATTAACTTGAGATAGAGGGGCTGCTAGACTGTTTCCATTAGAAACTTAAGTTGATTTCTATCCATATTATTTACTAAACTACGATTAAAAGCACACAGGCTTTTTCACAAAAATCAATGATTTTTTCAATTAATTCAAAAATACTAAAGCTAAAAAGTTGCTTTCAAATTTTAAAATGTTCGTTACTGAGGCATAAAGTTAGTGAGTTAGGTCAAGTTCAAGCACAAAGTGTTTCAGTATTAAAATTGAATGAAACTTTTTACGATCTATGTGACTGTTTAACCCTATTAATCCCCCTATTTGACCCCTCCCCACCCCCCTCTATTTGATGAACATTTGATACGTAGTTGGAAAGCCCTTGGGCTCTACTTCAATAATCAACGAAAAAGAGGCAAAGTAGCAAAACTCCAAATATTAATTACGAAATCAAGTTATTAAGCGCAAAATTGCAATCAATTACACATATTTGAAAAAGCCCTTGGCCCAGAGAATACAAATATGCAAAAAAAATTGCAACAATGTTAAAACCTAAATGTGTTTTTAAGAAAAACTGAAAATGTGCAAATTCTTTTTAAAGGCATATCTGCAAAAATCAGTGCAAAATTCTTTTGCAAAAATTGTGCAATCTGGTTGCTTTTGTTATAGGCTTTTAAAAGAGTTATAAAATGTTGAAATCCAATGACTGGAATTAGGTCTAAATATAAATTTAGTCTGGTATGAGTAATATAAGGCATTTAGGCAGTATGATGTCTGAAGACTCATAGCAGTGGAAATAAAAGCAAAGCTTTCAGCCTGAAGTGATGGCTATGTTAGGTTATCGAACAGTCAGAAAATTTGAGCTTCCTAGCTGAAATACTTTTTGAGCTATCCCTAGNTACTTAAAGCGTAATTTCAAGTGACCCTTAATAAAAAGACTGCAGCACATAGGTACCCTAACAATCTTTATCAGAGTCCGAATTCAATGAATTTGAGCCGCGTCTCAAATCCACCAATTTCCACCGGTTTCAATTGAGCGCCGGCTTAAATATTGAATACAATTTTAAGTGGTACCAATCATATTTAAGCCGCGTCTCAAATTTAAGCCGTGGGTCAAATTTTTAAAGTTGGCCTCTGATTCTTAAATGTTAAAGATAACGTCGTTTTCCTAGGGTTAAAAGTTTTTTATTTTGATATTTCAAACATATTCTGATATTTCAAACATAATCTGATATTTCAAACATATTCTGATATTTCAAACATATTCTGATATTTCAAACATATTCTTATATTTCAAACATAGTTTCCTTTGGTGAAAATACACAAGTTACTTTTGTTGACACCTCAACTGAAAATAATCAGCTTCTAAAATTGTAAACAATGATATCTAAATCATCTTTGATAAGAACAATTTTGTAATAAGCTGGTTACTATTGTGAATCAGGCATTGACATCTTTGCATAGAGAGTCACTTGAAATTACGCTTACAGTCCCTTTAAAGAAATTGTTCGCAGATTAAATGATAAAACGCTTTGAGCCCCACTGCAAACAGAGATATTATCATCAGCGGCCAATCTAACGTAAACCGTAATTTCAAGTTTTAAGAGGTTTACAATATTCACAAAGGTGCAATTTCTAGTTTTAATTTTTGTATTTGTGGTTTCTCTACAATGGTAACTTTACAGGGGAATCCAGCAGAATTAAACAATATTCAAGGAGGAAAGACATTGTTATCTGCAAGGTTATAATGCAAGGAAAGTTAATTGCGGTCGTGTATACTCTGCGTACCATGAAACCAGTTCTCTCTGGGAGGAATTTGTAAACAAGAATGGATGCATCACTGTTCGTTTAGTATCCGAGGAGGTTAAAAGCATTAAATTTTGATAATTTTGATAATTCACATAATAGTTTCCTATGAACAGAATATTTCATTGATTTTTTATGTGAAAGATGGATCCCATGTCAGGCTGTAACATCCGTCTTGTGTACTGCAGTGTACTGTCTCCGCCCAGAGACAGTACACTGCAGTACAAAAGATGAGTACACTTTCCTTACATTACATCCTTGGTTATCTGTATATTATTAATCATTTTACGAATTCAAGGATAAAGTTGTGAATGGAAGGTTGAAGTTTTAGAGATAAAGAATAACCTATTTAAAATGTTTCAAATCAGATAAAAGAGTATAATTGACTGAAGAAATAAAAACAGAGTATATTATACATAAAACAGAGTATATACAGAGTATATACATAAAAACAGAGTATATTATTCATGAAAACAGAGTAAACATGAAAACAGAGTATATAAATGAAAACAAAGTACATACATAAAACAGAGTATATACATGAAAACAGAGTATATACATGAAAACAGAGTATATACATGAAAACAGAGTATATTATACATGAAAACAGAGTAAACATGAAAACGACAATGTATACAAATGAACATACAGTGGTACCCAAAACACTGTGAAATAGAAAGACGATTGTAAGATCCATGTTTTGATTCAAAATAGTCCATTAACCATGAAGTACAATAGCCTTGTAGTATAAACTACGCCATTTCACTGTACAGTTACTGCTAAAACATTTTTAAAAAAAATACAAGTGAAAACAGATGTCTCCAATGTTCACTGAAGTATTGGTAAACTTTTGGTAAAAAGCCAAAATAAGAACGACTTACCAACGTGTGCTAACTATAAATAACGGATTAATGCCGCGTAGATTAAGACGAAATCTCTTAATTTCCATATTTTTTTTGCTTTGAAGGGAATAGATGTTTTGACAACTTCTCAATATATTGATGGATGTGTTCCTTTATACCCTACACTACACTGCTTATTCAGATAAATTATGAAGGAGCAGGAGAACTTTTGGAACTACAGTTCCCGAAAGCCAAGATAAGGAACAGGAACGAGCCCATAAACCAGATTTAGGACAAGATTATGTCCAGGAACCAAATTTAGGAATATGAACTTATCAAGGAACCAAATTTAGGAACTTATAGACCGTATATATCTATCAGCCAAATTAATGAACAAGAACGCATCAAGGAAACAAATTCCATGTTTAAAGAAGGTGTAAAGGAACCACATAAATGAATTACAACATGTCCAGGAACCAAAATCAGAAATAAAAAACCAAATTTAGGAATATGAACGTATCAAGGAACCAAATTAAGGAATAAGGACGAATCAAAGAACCAAATTTAGAAATAAGGACGCATCAAGGAACCAAATTCAGGAACTACAACGTATCAAGAAATAAAATCAGGAACAAAAACATATCAAGGAACTAAAATCAGGAACAAGAACGTATCAAGGAACTAAAATCAGGAAAATATCAAGGAACCAAATTCAGGAATTAGAACGCAAATTTAGGACTTATCAAGGAACTGAATATCAATGAGGACGTGTCAAGAAACCAAATTCAGGAATGCAAATGTGTCAATGAACATAAATTATGAATTAAAACCTCATACAAGGAACTTGAATTTCGGAAGAACCCAAAATTCAGGAACCAGACCGTGTAAAGAAATCACAGTCGGGGACTAGACCGTGTAAAGAAAACAAAGTCAGGGACTAGACAGTGTTAAGAAACCAAAGTCAGGGACTAGAAGGTGTAAAGAAACCACAGTCAGGGACTAGAAGGTGTAAAGAAACCACAGTCAGGGACTCGACCGTGCAAAGAAACCACAGTCAGGGACTAGACCGTGTAAAGAAACCACAGTCAGGGACTAGAACATGTAAAGAAACCACAGTCAGGGACTAGACTGTGTAAAGAAACCACAGTCAGGGACTAGACCATGTAAAGAAACCACAGTCAGGGACTAGATTGTGTAAAGACTATCCTCCTATCCTCCTATCCTCCTATACTCCTATCCTCCTATCCTCCTATCCACCTATCCTCCTACCCTCCTATCCTCCTATCCTCCTATCCTCCTATCCTCCTATCCTCCTGTCCTCCTATCCTCCTATCCTCCTATCCTCCTATCCTCCTATCCTCCAATCCTCCTATCCTCCTATCCTCCTATCCTCCTATCCTCCTTTCCTCCTATCCTCCTATCCTCCTTTCCTCCTATCCTCCTATCCTCCTATCCTCCTATCCTCCTATCCTCCTATCCTCCTATCCTCCTATCCTCCTATCCTCCTATCCTCCTATTCTCCTATCCTCTTATCCTCCTATCCTCATATATATCCTATCCTCCTATCCTTCCTATCCTCCTATCTCCATGGTCTCTTAAGGACTGGGACGGTAAATACAGCCTCCTCCCCCAGTTATTCTTATATTCTCTGTTTTAAAAGATTAGAAAATCACAGTTCATAGAATTTAAAACAATTCCATTTATCTCGAGTTCTTTCTACAGGGTGAGTCAAAAAAAGTTTGAGTTGCGGCGTCTGGTGCAAAAGTGTTACTTTTGTGTGCAACTCTTCTTTATGGTGTTTTTTAATATTTTTTAAAAAATTTGTAAGTTTTTTTTTGGTACTCCAATGGCCCAAAAAAACCGCGAACCTTTTTCTATTAAAATCAAAAGTTCAGAAAAACAAAAATCAAAATTTTAAAAAGATTGAATCACAGAATCTAAGAAAATTTGCAAAATTGTAATTAGAAAATTCGCAATTTTCAAAACTGGTATAATTTTTACGGACAAATTGTTTTTCAATGGTTCTTAAGGATTTAACTGAACAGCGTATATTTAATACTTTAAAATAGACTAAGAAGAAAGAAACTAGAGAATTTAAATAACTTTTCCTGAAAAATTAGCCCAGAACTGAAAATAAATGCACACTTTTGCTTTTCTGAACTTTTGATTTTGAGAGAAAAAAAGATTCGCGGATTTTCTTTTGGGCCATTGGAGTACCAAAAATAAATTACAAATTTTCATAAAATATTGAAAAAAACACCATACACTATACAGTAAAGTTGCACAACAAAAGTTATAATTTTGCACTATGGCGCCGCAAATCTCTATAAATCTATCTACCTATCTATTTGGCTTATCTGTTTGTCATTCTGTTAGCTTAAAATTAAACGTCAAATCGGCCTGACATAACGTACAAGTTTTTTTGACGATTAAAATAACAACATTTTGCTTTAAAAAAATGTTGTAAAATGTTATTTAATTCATAATAATTAAAGGAAAAAAAGGTGTCGATTGAAGGTTTGTAAAAGTATTATTACAAATAAAAGTCGCCACAATCTTTCAAACACTTTATTTTTATTTTATAAATATATTGCAAAATTTCTAAGACAAAAGTACTGTAAAAACCAAAGCCCAAAATCGGTAAAAGTGCAATCTGTTTTTAACCCACCCCAACATATATATTCTGCCGGCGGGAGGGCCCCCAACCTATATTCGGTTGGCCCTTGGGGGGGTCCGGGGGGGCCCGACCTATATTGGGCCGGTTAAAGGATACTCTTGTGAATTGAGCATGTCAATCTTTTTAAATGTAGGGTCAATTGAAATTATGCTTACAGTCCCTTTAAAGTATGATCTCTGGCCTAATTACATATCTCTGATAAGTATGAACTTATTATCTTAAAGCTTAAGAAAACGTATATTTACACAAATATCTTTATCTTTATAAAGTCCAACTTTAAAAAAATCAGTTTTCAACATGCTTTTGTTGATTGCTGTTAACACGGTTCTTCTTGTACAGTATGTACATGGTGCAGTACATGTTCATGACGGTGTTCCAGTACGCTCTGTACCAGGTGTACTGCAGGTAGAGATATGCATGTCCGATTCACAGCAGTACTCTTTCAATCATTGTCTAATTAATAAGGATTAAGATATCCTGGCGTGTCTCTTTCTCTGATATTTTAAATTGCAGTTTATATTCCTTAAAATTTTAAATCAACATTTTGATTTTAGCAAATATTTGTCCTTATTTTTTAAGTGCATATCGTTAAAAAACATTCAACTCGGAGGCTTCAAAAGAATCTAAGACAAAATTATTTTTAAAAACTATTTTGATTTTTTTTTTAACCTTAAAAATATATCTTTTTGGCATAGTAAAATTTACGAGTCTTTAAAAAGTTTATTTAAAAAATTCTAAATGTTAAAAATCAATTGTAACTTTAGGCTGATGGATTAGTGCACTGGTCTAACGGTCTACTAGATGTTGCAAGGAACAAAATTATAACTTTACCAGAAAAATTATTAAAATTTGGTAACAGACACCAGAAATATTATTATTAAAATCTGGTAACAGAAACCAGAAATATTATTAAAATCTGGTAACAGAAACCAGAAATATTATTATCTGGTAACAGAAACCAGAAATATTATTAAAATTTGGTAACAGAAACCAGAAATATTATTAAAATCTGGTAACAGAAACCAGAAATATTATTGAAATCTGGTAACAGAAACCAGAAATATTATTAAAATCTGGTAACAGAAACCGATGGCATGTAATCAAAAAAAATCTTTTTTAGAAACAAATCAGTTACAATTATCTAAAGACGACACAACAATTCACTGTTTTCTAATTACTACCTTACTTGTTGTCTGCAATACAAAAGTTATTATTATTATTATATTTCATGTATCCACCTTTATCATAAAAAAAAAGTTTTTACGTGAATAATCAAGAATCAAATATTTTCCTATTATTCTTATAATGCAATTTTCACTTTCGAAAAGTATGTCTTTTACGGAAAAATGACAGAAATAAAAAAAAAGAATTGTATTTTCAGTCTTAAATTTCTATTTTGATCTGAATAGATCTTTCGGTAATGTTTTCATTTTAAATATCTTTTCTCGTTCTTGAAACATCAATATCAATGTTTATTTATTTTACCATAGATTAATTAAAATAATAGATAGGACACTAGATGTAGTCTTTTCAACTTTTCTGTGTGTTACGTTCACAATAACCCTGAGTGAGAAGCACAAAAGAGTTTTGTGTTAGTCAGCCTAGAAGAAAACAGAAAGAGATTGTTTTACGCCGTCTACGTTTAATTACTTTGGGCTTCTGCCTCTGGATTATTGTGAACGAAACACACTAAAATCTTGATGAGACGACATCCAGTGTCCTATCTTTTTTTTTTGATAATCTATGAATTTCACAATAAAGGTCAAACAGAGCCAAGAGAAGAGATAGCAAAAAGTAAAAAGTAAAAAAAAAATTTATTTATAAAAATTTATAGTGTTTGATTTCAAATTTAAGATCCGTAAACGTTTACCTATTCTTTTATTTTAGAAGGGTCACATTTGAAAATTTTTATACCAGATTTTAGCCGTATTAGTTGAAAAACCTGAAAGGCCAAAAAAACTAACTTAAAAACTGCTTTCCATGATAAAAAATTTACGAAAATTATTAAGTTTTACCTAATTTTTTGGACATTTAATGTTGAATTCAGATTTGTTCTATTTTAAAAATATATTTTTTTTAAAGTTCAGAATAATTAACAATACAAAAAACTGTTTTTTTTAAAAATTTTATTTTGTTATATTGTGTTAAAGAACCCCGAATGATGATCTGGTGGAAGGAGGTGATATAACTCTAGCCTGCATCTTACCCCAGCAGTATATCAATTGCAGGTTTAAAGAAAACTAAATATTCCTTTCATATACACAAAGAGAATAGAATATATATTATAGAGTGGAATTTGGAAAATTCCTCGTTATGAATTTTTTCAGTCCATTTCTGATTGAAAGGGAGTTCAAAGTGTAGAAATCATGTAAATGTTCACAAATTATATGCAGTAGAGTACATTAATAGTATGTTCCCTGGACTATCCATTCAATTTAGAATTTTTTAAAGCTGTTAAATAAACTTTATAAAATGAATTAGGTGAATAAAAAACATCATTTAATTTATAGTTAAAACGGAAAATCATTGTTTTTAAAGTGAAAGGCATAGAGTCTATGTGAAATGATCATTGGTCAACTATAAACCAGCCTATTTCATAATTTGGTTTTCTTTTAATGTTAATTTTACATTTTCTATAAAATGATGTTCCAGGGCCCAAAAGGTTATAAAGCAAAAATATGTGAAGTACACCTGCAGTATGGAAACAGTACAACAAAATGGCCGTTTTACACTTTTTTCTAGTAAAGTCCCCTCTAATATATATTCTATTCTCTTTGCATATACATTTTTTCAGCTTTTTCTCCAGGGAAGAACAAATAAAAAAGTTTTTATTAAATTATAAGCACGCATATTTGGAATTTTGGGTAATGCATGGTAAACTAATTAATTCATTGGTATCAGTCTTATACTTTTCAAAGATATCTATGACCGGAGAAAAGTCGATTTATCATTTAGAATTCCAGTGGAATGGTATGATACCTTTTGTATAGATACCATTCAAACATTTTTTTCAGTAACAACAGCCTAATAAAATCTAAAATTTGTTTCAATGACATCATGAGTCAGCCATTTTATAACATAAAAATATAAAAAACTTTCGAATTTATAATTGGCAAGAAATGAACCTTTTTCGTGTTCAAACATGATTCAACAAATTAACACGTTTACACAAAAATTACTTTCTCTCCTTGAGAAATCTCTCTCTTCAATAAATCACGGGGATTTCTAAGAGTAGAGAAAACGTATCAAACCATCAAATGTTAACCCTTTTCCTGCGGGGGGGGGGTCAATTTGCCCCCCTGTAGTTTATTTTTAAATAACTCAAAAAGTATTGGTCTGAGGCTGTTAAAATTTTCTGACTTTTCCTACATACCCAAAGCCCTCCCTTTAGGCCTTAAACCGGGCTTTAATACTAACTGCCTGAGTCCTCAGGCACACTGCCTGAATGACTGCTTTTGCCTGTAACAAACTAAATCTTTGTTTTGACCCACTTCCACTTGTCAGATTTTGATAAAATTTAGCTTTTTGGAAAGCCTTTGACATACTCAAACGAATTGCCAAGTTTTGCGAGAAAAAAAAATTGCATAAACCTCTCAAAGGAAATTTGCACATTTTTAGTTTTTCTTGATTAAAAATCAGGTTATTTAAAATTTGCAAAAATTTTTGCATATTTGAAATGGCATGGTCAAGGGCTTTTCAAAATGTATAATTTTTCATTTTTTTGGACAATTGTTTTTTGCAATTACATTATAACTGGATTTTGCGATAAAAAATTTAATTTTTGCGAATTTGCAAATTCTAAAAGTAGAGCACATGAGCTTTCCAATGATGTAACATTTGTCATATTTGGACATCAAACATGGGATTTAGATGGGGGGTCAAATTGACCCCCCCCCCCCCAGCATATCCTGGTTTTCAAGTATCCCAGCAGAGATAGGGTAATTAAAAAAATTACATAGAGCAATTCAGAATACAAATTACTAGAAAAAATTAACGAAAAGCTAAATTAATATTCATTTGAAAATATCTTAAACCCGAGTAAAACCCAGTCTTTGCCTCTACATAAAGTTTGAATTTTCAAAATTGTCCTTGTCACAGCTTATCTGTCCGCTTCAGAGAGAGAGCTTTCTATGCAGTCTCTCATTGGTCAAACCAGAACTAATTATTACTTGGGTTCTATCTGTGCCTGGTTCTACTTGGTTTATTCTTTTAAAATCTCAGTTCAGGATTGCCTGGAATAATTTGACCCTTATATAACATTTTATATATCTTGGTATAGCTTGCACATAATCTTAGAGAAAATATCAAACTCAACTCTATGAATATATATATTAACACATCGATAGATAAATATGACATAATTATTTATAGTTGATCAACTCTGCTCATTTTTTTTAGAAATATTTCAAAAAACATTTCATTAGCAATTTTTATTTCTTCATTGTTTTAAATTTGATTGTTGTTCATTCCAGGTTCACATCTCCTCTTGGTGAAGTCTACTATGTGGATGAGAACAGTGTCACTGATGGAAATGGTAACAGCTTATTTTTATAAATGATGCCATTAAATGTAAACATATATAAAAAATCAAAAAACTTAATATTTCTATGATCAGTAATCACTCTTTAGAGAGAGATCCCAATTCTTCAACAAGAGGTTACTTAATAAAAACTAGACAATTAGAATCATAGATTAAATAAAATAACAGATAGGACACTAGATGTTGTCTTTTCAAGATATAGGGATTTATTGATCACAATAACCCTGAGGCAGAAGCCCAAAGGAATTACCTGCAGTCAGCGAAAATCATGCTCTCTCTCTGTCTTGTAGTTTTATGCAGCATGCCCCAGAGTTATTGAGAACAAAAAACCCTAAACCTTGAAAAGACTACATCTAATGTCCTATCTGTTATTTTTAATTCTAATTAATATATGATTAAAATCTTTACATCATTTATAGGAAATGATGTGCCTAACGTTTACCCATGGGCGGGAAATGATGGAGTGCGCAGTTGTGGAATTGTTGCCACATTTAATTCCAGCGAGGAGAACTGGAAATGTTCATTAGGACCTGGCCCAACGTACAGTAAGTCAAGTTCAGAATCATATAACATGTATACCAGTGTAAAATTAGAGCATATCAAGTTAACTTTATTACAACCAAGGGGCAAGGGGGTCACTGTGACCCCTCCCCCCTATTCTATTTTGGGTAAACCAGATGTCAGTGGTAATAGGATTAATATTATTACTAGAATCTTTCTTCAATTTCAATAAAAGAAATAAAAGACTCACTTCCTTTGCTTAACCTATAAGACATGTTACCATATTATTCAGTAAATGGATATATCTCAACAGCAGAGGAAGTAACTACTGGCCTCCGACTTCCAACTGATGTTACCCCACTGAGGTAATATTTTGTAATTGTGTACATAGGTCCAAATGGTTACCAATACAGAATATTACTTAAAAGATGACTATACAGTCTGTTTCCTTACATTAAGATTCTGTGAAACTTTCCTTATAAATCATAAAATTGGTCCTATTAAAACTAATTTTATTTTCTAAGGCAGAATATCCAATTCAACCATGGAAATATTGTATTTAACAGTCGTCTTTACAGTATCATCCTTTGTGGGTCACCATGAATGAATGCATTAACAGCCAGAATTTTACTGTATTGCTCAGTGTAAATAAAATTAAATTTTTCTTTTAAACAATTTTTTGTGAGTTTGTGATTTTCATACATTAATTAATTTCTTTTTGGTTCAATATACATCACATTCAAGTGTAAAAAAATATAAAAAAATGCAAATTTTAATTAAAAATTTCACACCTTTTTTAGTGCATGTCATTCAGTTGGATGGACAAAATTAATGTTGATAGAAAGCAGGATCAAGAGCGATGGATGCTTGGTTGAAGCTTTTAATAAAATGTCAAAAGCTGGGCTTCTGAAATTTCTAGCTCACATGACCTTCATGCAGCAATCCAGTGATCTGAAAGAATAAATTTGTAAACAATGTTAAACATTTATCATTTTCAATTGAAATTCTAGATATTTTTCAAAGAAAAATTGGTGAATTTATTTAGGATAAAATTACCCTCTATTGTTATCTAGGCAAACTATGTCTAGGCAAAATGTTATATAGGCAAATTGTTTTCTAGGCAAAATGTTACTTGGCGAACATGCACTAGGCAAAAAGTTATTGAGTTGAAAATTGTATTTAGTTACGATCTGTTTCTGGAGGCAAGTGACTCTACCTTTGATGATAATGGGGACGCTCCAATATACTTTGATGGTTTGGTTGAAATTGAAATAGTCAGCACAACCTCTAAACCTTGTATCCAACTTCATGCTGATGAGATGACAGTGCTGGATGTTTTAGTGCTTCTTGAAGGAACAGGTAAGACTGTTCCTGAATTTCCAGTTTTTATCTGTCTTACGGTAACATTACTTATTCACAAGAGGTATACCCTTTAAAGAGAATGTTTGCGAAACATGTGGGTAGGGATGTTAACGTTTTCATTTTTTTTGAAAAACGATCGTTTAGTTATGAAAACGATGATGAAAAATCAAAACTGAAACGATCTTTTTTTTCAAAAGCAATGGTTTATAAAAAACAATCGTATAAAAAATGGTCACAAATCGTTTTTAAAACAACAATCGTTTTCTAAAACGATCGTAATTCGTTTTCTAAAAGTTCAAAACAAGAGGTTCATTTTTACAAACAATCATTTATTTACAAAAACGAAACGATCGTTTTTGAAAACAATTAAAAACGAAACAAAAAACGATCGTTTAATGATTAACGATTAACGATTAAACAATTTTTTTTGAGATCTAAATATTTATTGTCTTATTATTTAAATTGTACAACATAGTTTACATGTATTCAATAATAACGACAAATTCGTTTACATTTTTGAGAGATTTGTATAAGGATTAAATACATACATTTCGTAAATTAAAAATTAAAAAGATTAAACGATTAACAACCCTACATGCGGGGAAATAGGCTGATATTGAAATGTATTTGATATTGTTGCTTCTAACTTTACTTCTATCTTTCTGTAAGGAGAAAATGGTTAACAATTGTCTTTTATCCAAGAGTGTATAATTTCACATAGTTTTATTATTCCACTTAGATTGCAAATAGCTAAATTAAATTTAAAACTAATCATTCAGATATTACAACTGTTATACCCCCTTTCACTTTTCTTTTTCTGAAACACTCCCTTTAACCTTTATCTGAATACCACTGAGGAAAAGTTCTTTGTTCTTTAATCTTGGCATTTGTATTCTTTAATTCCTGCAATTAAAAAGTTTTTTTTTTATTTAGTAAGTTTTAATGCTTCCAATTGTTTTTTTTATAAATAACATGTTTGGTACAGTGATAACAGAAAATGGAATAGGAAGACAAGAATATAGCAATACTTAAGTGTATTAGATGGTGTTGCAAACTAAATAGTTTTACCAGACACTTGAAAAATCACTTATTTTGTGAAATGGGTCTGTTTACATTGCACAATTGGTGTGTTTCATGGTTATTGGGCTTTCAAAGTTAAAACTTGATTCTCAAAGTCATCTTACCATTTCAGAGTTTTCTGGTAATCACTGTAGTAAAAAAGTCTTTGCCAGTCTTTGTTTTCATGCTTTTGTGTATCCGATTCAAAGCTTGGTGGAAATCAAAAAATTTAATTAAAAGTTGTCTTTATTATTTTGATAAATATGATGATGAATGTCCCAAGTTCAATTAATTCAAGGAAATAAAATCAAATGACTAGAAATTTAAGAATTATTTATACATATCCCTTTTTTTTAGAATTGCCATTGACAGAGATTGGAATGGATTTCCAAAGAACATTTTTTGAAGTATGTGTTGAGAATGGATTCACTGCAGATCTCACTTACAAGGTTAGTTTTAGAAAACATTAGAATACATGCACCTCTGCTTCTTTAGTAAAATTAAATTCAACCTATATGAAGCATAAAGTCTGACTGCACCGGCTAGTCCTGTCCATAGAGCTAGGTACAGTACAAACTGCGACCAGAAAGGTTGACCCGGCTTGGAAATTCAAATGTACTATGGCTGCCCATTAATAATATAACAGCAAATAAGGGCACACTGATTAACACTTGGTTAAACAGTCTAGTGGCCGAATCTAAGGAATTTGAGTTGTGGTTTAAATTTAAGCCGCAGCTTAAATATGGTTGGTTCCACTTAAAATGTACAACTTGCTAAAACTGCCTAAAACCTAGACTTTTTTTCAGAATTAAGGGTATCAAGAATTGTTACAAATTTGGGATCAACACTCTAAGCTTTAATGGTCATTTTAATTTGCGTTGACAGTTTTCATTCTTATTAATTGATATTTTAATTGATCCTGATTTTTGAGTTGGATTCTCTTCTAAAAAGTTACTATCTGTATTATTATTATTTTAGTTGATCCTGATTTTGAGGCGGATTCTCTTTGAACAAGTTACTATCTGTATTATTATTATTTTAGTTGATCCTGATTTTGAGGCGGATTCTCTTTGAACAAGATACTATCTGTATTATTATTATTTTAGTTGATCCTGATTTTTGAGGTGGATTCTTTGCGAACTAGTTACTATCAGTATTATTATTATTTTAGTTGATCCTGATTTTTGAAGTGGATACTCTGAGAACTAGTTACTATCAGTATGGGTTCTACTATAAACCATGCACTGCAGATAATCTCAATTTAAACCTTTTAATTTTTTATTTATTTTTTACAAATACTTTTGGTCAAATTGTTAAAATACATGTATCTGTGTACAGAATGGGTTTTCTATTTTAAACTGATGATTATTTTAACATTACATGTTTATAGCAACTAGGTGGAAAATAGCTCTTGGCTGTTTTGATTATCCTTTCCACCCAAATTAAATAATGATAACAAAGCATTTAAATAAAATAGATTTTAGGAGTAAATAAGAATCAGGGTGCTATTTTATCTTGTGCAAAATGGGCATTGTTAGTATAGATTTACAATTAATTTTGTGATATATACAAAAAGAAATACCTAAACTTAACATATTCAAGAAGTCTTTTAAGAATATCACATTGTAATTTAATTTTCAAAAACTGAGTCTTCTAATCTATTTTTGATTATACTTTGATTTAGGGTTTTCTGTGTGAATTCCGTTGAGCGGAATTGCGTGCAACTGATTTTGAATTGCACTCAATTGTACGGAATTGCCTGAAATTTGTAGGGCTCGCAATTGTGTGCAAGTAAATCCTCTTGTGTTGGAAACCCTACTTAGATATATAATATATAATATATAATATATATTATATATATAAGGAATTAACAATTACACTGTATTTCAAAAATCCAAACCAAACTTCTTACTAAATAGTTACTTCCTCCTATATACTTGTACACTCTAGACTCTACAGTAAATAAAATAAGCTTGAGCTTTCATTTAAAGAAACAAATTATCCCACAAGCAAGCTAGACTGCCTATTTAAATAAAAAATACTAACAAGTTTCGGGTTTGTATATTATAAAGGCAGTGAAAAGTGTTGAAAGTTCCTTTTCAAAATAATTGGCAACATACTTTTGGATTTAATAGATCAGAATCTTACATACATTTCAGATTTTTTTTTTAATTGTTTTTTTTTTTTTTAGGAGACAGTAAAGTTTGTTGGTTCACTCAGGGCGAGGCAACTAATGCAAGAAATATATTTCCCTGCTTTGATGAACCAGCTTTGAAGGTTAAAAGATTGTTTAAGTGGTTAAAAAATACTCATTTTATGAGTATATTTAAACATATCTAACTTTTGAATAAATAAAACTAATCAAAATTTTTGTTTAACTTTAAGAAAAAGGTAAATTTCTGAAGATTTACATAAACATTTTGAAAGTTTGACTCATAATTTTTTCCTAAAAACTGCAAGTTTATCTCTCAAATGTATATTTTAAAATTTTCAGGCAAATATCCGAGTACAAGTGGTTCGTCTGGATGGATACAGCACTTTGTCTAATATGCCACTCATAACATCAGTTGATGAAGATGGAATGATCATTGATGTATTCCAGGTACATCACTTCACTTATTGTATTAATCCTTGGGTCTTAAGTTTTTAAACCCAAATTTGGTGCTTGATTTTTGGATAGACTTTTTCAGCTGGCAATAGCTTGTGTCATGTGACCCATGTTTGACAGCTCCAAGCTTTTAGACTTGACTCATGGAGTTTGGTCCAACGAAAATAAAACTGTCTAAGAATACAAAACAACTTGCCAAGCAATAACTTGGATACAATAACTTTCCTCTCATAACATTATTTGAACAAGATGGAATGATCATTGATTTATTCCAGGTACATTACTTCACTTTTTGTATAATCCACATGAATCTTGGAAGATAATGATAGAATTTCTAGCATGTTGCCTTGAAATAACATTCCACTGCAGAACCTGCGATAAAAAAGCTTTGCCTTGGGTTTTAATTTAATAAACCTATATTGAGAGCTTGATATTTGGCCAGACTTTATCACCTGACAACAGCTTGTGTCATGTGACACATTGTTAATAGCTGCAAGCTTTTAGACTTGACTAATGGAGTTTGGTCTATTAAATATAAAACTGTCTAAGAATACAAAACAACTTGCCAAGCAATAACTTGGCTACAATAACTTTCCTCTCATAACATCAGTTGAACAAGATGGAATGATCATTGATGTTTTCCAGGTATAGGTCTCCAGCGAACAGTCAGTTTTGTTCATACTGTTTGTTTATAGGTCGTTTTTAAAATTGTTATTTTATACATAGTTTTTCTTGCACTATAAGACACATTTGACCCTGTCAGAAAATATATGAAGAAACAAAATGTACTTGTTATAATGATTATTTTTGAATTATTTTTCCGCTTTTGTTTATTTAAAGCAAACTTTTACAGAATACATTATAGAGTTTTATGATATTGGAAGTATCAGGGGTGGATACAGGGGGGACCTTTGCACCCCCCTGAGATTTCAGAAAAGCTTCTCAAAGAAACCTAGTGCAAAACAGAAAACAATATCTATCTTTAAAAAAATTTTCGCATGCGGCGGGTCACTTGGTTCCTAAATCAGGATTTTTTTGTTCACAAAATGTACTTCCCGTAGTAAATTTTATTTTGTGTTCAAAAGAAAGATCTTAAAGGGATCGAGAAAGTATTTTCAAGCATATCTGTGATTGTTTAGTGTCTCCTAGTCGTTCTTAATCTATATTTATATTTTGTGTAAATCCATATTGGGCTCGCGTATAAATTTCTCTTTGAAAATGGCTATTGTATTCCCAAAATATTTGTCTTTCTTGATGAGTTTTCGCAATTTTTTGCAAATATTTTGCATTTGTTTTTAAAAATTCTGTATTTTTCGCAAAATTTTGTTTTTTCCATTTAATTCACAAAAGTTTTGCATTTTATTCACATTTTTTGGCAAAAATTTTGTGAAACCGATTGAAGCGAAATTTTGCGAGCAAACAAAATGCAAAAATGATTTTTCCTTTCCGCTGGAAACCCATTCCCTACCCCACTCAAAAAAATTCCCTTTCGCACCACCTCCTCCACATAATTAATGCAATTTAGCGATTCATGAATCCTGACCTAGAGCAAATCTAAGAGCTCTTATCGTAAAATAAAAAAAAACACCATTGAACGTTAGTTTATTGAGATTATAGTTCAATCGATATAGCACTTAATACACCATATACACACACACAGACCCCCTTCGTCTTCGAGGCTAACTACTGCCGTAGATCAGAACAGGTTGACAAGGTTCCAAGGTGCCTTAGTCTTTGTTTTTTTGCATTATGCTGTTTTTTCCTGGGAAAGGGAAAGGGGGTGTATTAAGCATTTTTTAGATATTTTCACTATAAGTTCTGCCACTTATTATGATATTGCTTTAATACTGTAGTACAACTATTAAATTAATCCTATATGTTTATTGCAAATATTGCGTGAAAATATTTTTCACGTAAAATCATGAATTTTTAATGAAAGGCATTTCTTGTCTGCAGTTTCTGAGTACAATGTACATATTTAATTTATGGATAACTAATGAAAATTTATATATATATATGTAATAATTGTAAATTAATTATTTTTGTGATTTATACAAGGTGTCCCAATAAACATGGGAATTCAGTGACAAATTCAATATCGTCTTTTTAAATAATTCTTTGATTTAGTAAAGTGATACTTACTGAGAAAGAAGTAATCAGTAAGAGTTTCATCTGCAATGTTCACATTTCGTATATATAACTTTTCTGTCGAGTCCGATCTTCACTGTTCATCTTGGGGTGACATTACCCTTTTCATAAAATAAACACTAGCAGAGATAATAATATTATGGCTTTTGAAATTAGGATTACAATAGCAAAGACGATATCGAATTCGTCACTGAATTCCCATGTTTTAGGGACACCCTGTATAAATCACAAAAATAATTAATTTACAATTATTACATATATATATATAAATTAACCAGAATAGATTTCTTTTTTTATTTCATATCAGATGTGTTGACTTCTGAATATCCGGTTGGTAAAGTTAGTTTTTTATTGTTTAAGTATAATACACATTTTTCTGGCCCCCCCTAAAAATGTTTAGGGGGGGGGGCCAAAAAAATTTTCGCGCTTCGCGCAGAATATTTTCCCGTGGCCCCCCCCCAGGGGCATACGCGTGCCCCCCCCCTGAGAGGCTGATGGGGGGCATCCATGGGGGAGGCTCTTTTAATATTACATCTGCTTGCATTTCCCTTCCTCAGGTCAGGCACAGTGGTGTACTTAGGGGAGACAGTAGTCCAAAAATACTAAATTAAAAGGAAACAACGTTTAAAAAGTAACACCTGACAATGACAAAGACTAAGGATTTGTCTAATCAACTCACTCAACTCACTCAACTCACTCAACTCACTCAACTCACCCAACTCATTTAACTCATTTAACTCACTGAACACACTCAACTCACTCAACTCCTCACTTAACTCACTCGACTCACTCGATACACTTGACTCACTCAACTCACTCAACTCCTCACTTAACTCACTTGACTCACTCGACACACTCAACTCACTCAATTCGCCCAACTCACTAAACTCACCCTAACTCACTCAACTCACCCTAAACTCATTCAACTCACTCTAAACTCACTTAACTCAAATACAGATTGGCCAATCAGAGAATTCCAAAACTGTATAATTTGTCATATTTATCTTTAATCTTAGGATTTAAAAGCCCCCCAAGCGTATCCTGGTTTTCAAGTACCCCAGCATGTATAGGGTTACACGATGTCTCCTCAACCCCCTCCCGCCGACAAATTCCCCCCCCCCTTTATTTACCTGCTATCTTGTTGGTTGCCACTCTGTAAAGGGAATTTTGCCAAGCCCTGCCTGTGCACACTAAGCGCATAGTATCTCTATACCTTGGAATCTTGATTTACAACTTTCCACCATTGCAAGTATAAGAATTTCTGATAGCCTCAGTTCAACATATAACCGCTAGGAGTCACTAAATTTTAAAAATAGAGATTCTCAAAAGTTAATATTTTGCTTTTTGAATGTACGGACAAATATAAATTTTTGTATTTCATCTGCACTAAAATTCCTTATTAATTTAGTTTTGTGCTAATCTGAAATTATCACTGTCTCGCTCCTATTTGTAATCCTAAATACATTAAAATGTTTAAATTGACATAAACATGTTTTTGCAATTTTTAGTTTACAGGTATTGACATAATAATTTCAAAATGCCAGTTAATCGATATCTACAACGACAATATAGGCGTACACAGGAATTTATTCAAGGGCACTTAAAAAATTTTGTTCTTTCTAGAGGTAGCTCAGCACAGGAATATATAGAATTCACATTTCCGAACCCCCTCCTCCTCCATGTCCGCTTCTGGCTGGCAATATAGTACTCATCAAGAATACCATTAAATCATAGAACATCGAGATTAAAATAGAAAGCAATATATTCTCTTTGGATAAAATTTGATACAAATTGGAGTAAAAATAGTTTTTAATTTCATTTATATCAAATTTTTAATTGACGACCAAAAGTTTATAACATGTAACACTGTTAGCCAAGGGAAGAACCGCTCAGTTTCAACAACTTACAGAAATGAATGATTATTTAAAAAAAAAACTCGACTCACTCAAGTAAACTCACTAAATTGATACTCAACTCACTCAACTTACTCAACTCACTCAACTCACTCAACTCACTCAACTCACTCAACTCACTCAACTCACTCAACTCACTCAACTCACTCAACTCACTCAACTCACTTAACTCACTCAACTCACTCAACTCACTCAACTCACTCAACTCACTCAACTCACTCAACTCAATCAACTCACTCAACTCACTCAACTCACTCAACTCACTCAACTCATTCTAAACTCACTCTAAACTCACTCAACTCTTTCAACTCAATCTGCTCTTTCTTACTTTTTTAGAGCATTTGGAATATGGCTGAAACTCCGGCTGACCTGCCGGAATCTCGTTATTTCCGTTGATCTGAAGTTTTTGGTCTTCGGTCTTAATTATGCATAGTTTTGGTCTCCGGTCTTAAATATGCATAGTTTTGTTCTCCAGTCTTAAATATGCATAGTTTTGGTCTTTGATCTTAAATATGCATAGTTTTGGTCTTTGATCTTAAATATGCATAGTTTTGGTCCCCGGTCTTAAATATGCATAGTTTTGGTCTTTGATCTTAAATATGCATAGTTTTGGTCCCCGGTCTTAAATATGCATAGTTTTGGTCTCCAGTCTTAAATATGCATAGTTTTGGTCCCCGGTCTTAAATATGCATAGTTTTGGTCCCCGGTCTTAAATATGCATAGTTTTGGTCCCCCGTCCTAAATATGCATAGTTTTGGTATGATTGTATGTTAAATGATTTGGGCCTAGACAAAGAAATGTAAAGATACAGAGAACTGTTTAATTTAGAAAAAAGATTAAATAATACCCGTATAACAGATCTTCTCTGAAGTTTTATCCCATGCTGGTTTGTGTTCCCCCCTCCATCCCGCTGGAATATTTTGAACCCATCAT